CCCATGGCAGCGCCGTCTAACTAAACTCCCAGATGCGGTAGAAACAAATCAGTCAGTAGAGTGTAAAGTAAAACAGAGCCAGCAGTGGTAATCGACTTGACATTTCGACTCCTCGATTTTTTGAGTAACAATATAAAATGATTTTGGATGGCTCTGGCTGGCTCTTTTTTGAGCAAAAGTAACACCAGGAAAACGGCAAACTGTGCCATCTGAGTACAAATGATCGTGGTCGTTATTGATTGCAAAACATTTAGGAACAAACCGGTGGTTGTGGAAAATATTGCTATATTAATCATTCAATAAGAAATTAGAGAATCTTTTGGAATCTGCAGAAAGGCCTACTTCAGTTGAACGGTTCGTAGCTGTCTCGGTTAATGGCGGATCACGCTCCAAATTTTTTGACAAAACTTTACGAGTTTTTGCTCTACTTTAACCACGATGCGGGAAGGACGTCAAGAACACACGTGCCTAGCATGGGTGAGAAAGCACCATGCTCGATACTTACTTTTCCAGTCGGTTGCAGCTGAGATTCTATAGTGTCACTAGACGCTACATGCAGATGAGCCCCTGACCCTGGTCATGAAATTCATGCAAGCGAAGCTATTTAGAGTGTAGTTTATTATGTATTTGTTGCGGTTCCAGCTGTCTATTTGGATAGCAGGCATTCTTCATAGCCAATTAAGCGCAGAGGAACAAGGTTACCGTAACTGGCGAAAACGACTACGTATGTAGCATATAGTTGCACCTACAGTGTGATTTTCTTAGCTTATACTCCGTGGATGGCACGAACAACTGGTCTGGATCAATTTGCTGGCTTCTCTGTATTGACTAAGCTCACGGTGTTTTTTGCCTGTGTAGGTGGGACTCGTTGTTCAACTGATATGAAAAGAATAGTACACACATCTACCCAGTTGGTTAAACTTTCGAAAGCTAACTTCCCAGATTATTTAATACAAACAACTCAGCAACCTTGTGTGTAGTGTATTACAAATATACATGTATCGCGATATTTCGAATATCGTAGTGACTGAAACGTGAAGCGGCCTGGTGCACCACATTCAGTTGCCTGGAAACATCACAAACGAGAGATTCAGCTGGGTTCCACGTGAGTCTCTCAAAAGCCAAATTAGTTTGAAAATGAGTGTATATTCGCTAATTTCGTGGAATGTGGTTTAAGTAGAACATAAGGTTGACGGAAACTCGGGGACTGCGCTTACATGATGAGCCCCAAGAAGGGCGAAACTGGTCGTGGGCTGTCGACGAATTTTCAGCAACCTTGTGAGTAGTGCATTACAAATAAACCAGTTAGTTCCTCTGAAATTTCTCGTCCTCGTTACCACGGTGAAGCTTCGATACGTACAACCGATTAACTTTGATTCCATAAAATCCAAATCGGGTCACATCTGCAGCTTCCTGGACCAGACCCTTCTCTGCCAGTCCATTTACTTCAAAAAGCCTTAGCCAATCATAATCGAACCCACCTGACGTAGTGGGCAGCCCCTGTCATGCTGAAATCGGATGCTTTCCAATTCGGATAGATGCGGTGTCCACATGTGCACTATTACAACTGAGCAGATGCAAACACGTAGGAGCGACTTCAAACAATGGTTTTTTTTATTAGGGCTGTGACGTGTTCCCAGTAGAGCTCCAGGTGGTTTGTAGCTGCAGTACCAGGAAGGTACTGCAATGATCCCTGTTTATCTGGTAAAACAGCCCAACAAAATACAACCGCCGATTATTATTTCGAGAATTAAAACCAACCACCTTGAAACATCTGGATGCCGAAAAACCTAGCGTCACTTCTTAGAAAGACCTACTGCAATCCTCATTGATCATACAGGCACTCGTTTCCAAATCATTTTTTTTCTACGTGGTATCATACGGTCATTTGTGATCAAAAGCTATTCAGAGTGGATGCATAAAGTTTGACCAAGCACCAGTAGCTTGAATATATATTTTTTTTGTAAATTTTTATTTCATTTTCCGCCACCTAGTTTTACTGCCGTTTTGACGAATATGCTGTTTCTAGATCAATATCTCTGGCGCGTGACTCAAACCATACACCACTCTATTGAGAAAGTCACAAACACAATGGGCACGATTAGCAAAACTTCCTGTTTGGACTGTGGCCAAAACAAAAAAATATCTACCTAAGCAGACTAAATGATGAGGTGTAGAAGAAATCGAATGAAACGTCATTCACGCAATTCCATTTGGAACGAACGAATCCGGTCAGCTGTATAAAACCGCTTTCAAATACGCGTAGCGTACCAGCTATAGGGTGACTGGTTCTTTGTAATAACTAACAGCTATCCTGGAGTAGCAATTACACTACAACGACCCTGTCAGACTCATCCGCATGGATGGGACACAGCTGTGCACGGAGACATTGTGAATTAGTTCGTATAATCTGGATCAGTAAGCCAAGGGCTCTGCAAAAATAAAGACTTGAGGTGACACTCTCACCACAAAATCAAAGATAAAAGCATTTCTTACAGCAAATCAGGTTTACTTTTTGCTATTTTGTCACGGGTTGAATCATAATTAGTGCGGCAGAAAAAAAGGAATTACGGGTACACAGCAGAATGTCGGTAGGCAAGCGCTCATCCTACTAACTAGACTAATTTGTACAAATTCTTATACAACCTCTGATTGATTGTGGACGAACACCTTGCGTATTAACACGAATGGACAGTAAAACAGGTTAGATTAATGAAAGTTGACGAGGGCGTCATTTCGGATGCAAAACTGTCTGCGAAGTGGGTGTTCTCTTCATCCATAACAGACACGATGATGAAAATCTAAAAGACACACATGATGAAAATCTAAAAGGTCAACGTGTTGTTGCCTAACAAGCACTGTCCTCGATGAAATAGTCATTTGCAAATTAAGTTAGTCGTAAGTGGGATACCAGTCAAATCTTTCGTTTGCGGTGTTCACCTGAATGGGCCACACAATGTCACCTTATGTTCCGGTCGGCACGACAATCTAACTCAAAACACCATTCATAACGTATCTGGAAACTCTTCGATAACCCACAGTCGGTTGTGGCCTGTTTGGGAGTCACCAGGTAGATCTGGTCTGGACTTTGTGGAGCACATTGCTTTGAAGAGTATCACACAGGAGTGATTCAGCTGCGATACGACTGTGTCTACCGTTAACACCAAAGGGATTTACAAATGATTGTAGTTAAACTGTCTACAATCTAGTGTTCTAGTAAAACGTACGTTTGAGAGGGACTTGGGTACTGCATTTACCCGATGAGATCCCAGAAGGACAGAAACGCCCAGGGAGCTGTCAACGAGTTTTCAAATGCATTATGGGTAGTGCGTTTCGTCAAGAAAAAGTACTGTATTTATTAAACATATCTACATGCAAGGTGGAGAAAGGCGACCAGGCATGCTTACATTGACTTGATTAAGCACCAGTAGTTAATCATTCTTATCCGTCCAGTAGAATCTGCTCTCATCTGGATACAGAGGATATGGAATAACACCCCGATCACGTTACAAATGAAGTGATGTTTTCTGAGAACAAACTATTGATCTACAGCCCACCTTGTTATTCCAAACAACGAAATAGATGACATCTCACCACTGACCGATATTATGTCCGCAAGCACCGTCGCGCAAATGCGTGAAGACGCAACAAATTATTGAAGCAAGCGAGGCTAGCTAGTACTATAATCAGGTCGTTTCACTCGGTGCTTTTAAAAAAACACCCCATCTGAGAATACTCCGGACAGTATCGGCCTGTGCAAACGAGATAGCCACTCAAAAAGTTCCGCGAGTGAATTGAGGAGTGCCAGTTCCATTATTTTGCAGTTTTGGCAAACGAATGTCAAATCTAAACAAAGTGGTGAATGCGCACAAGATTCCTTGAGGAATATTAAATCTAACCTTTGAGAAGATTTACGAAATTTTCTTCAAAAGAATGTAATGATTCTGAAGATCTTTCCATTCGGAAATCACTTTTAGCCAAAACGGACGACCTGGTAGTAAGAAAGACAACAAAACGAATTGGAAATGCCTATTTAAGTCGAAATTTTGAAACTGTCATTTTCGAACACGTGGAAACGAAAGAGGGAAACGGGTGTAAAAGTTGGTACGACTTCTCTGAGGCCATTATGCTATTTGGGTCACGTGTTCCAGCGAGGAAGAAAGGTGTCAACAAATCAAAAGAGCAAGTTACGTGGGATGATCGTCATGTCAGTACTGATGACTGTCCCTGGAAGAAAAGCAATTGTATTATGCGACATAAATACTGAACTAGCCTCCTTCCCCTTCGAAAATCTGTGACAATGTCACACGGTATTTAAGCAGAACCTGAAAAAAAACGACTTACCTAGCAAACGCTCTAAAAAAAACTCCGTCGCCCAGGTACGTTAGTTCGTACCACTGAGTACGGTAAAGCACTATCAATGAAACATCGAACTGTCTCAGCAACTTGTCATGGGCAGTACCCTACTTCAATGTGCAAGCTTCGCACAGGGTAAACTTGTCACTGATCCAGTTGACAAAGATAGTCAACCTCGTACACTATAATACCTCTGAATCTCCTTGCCATTTGGAAAAAAACATGTAACAACGAACTGAAAGAACACTTTCGATTAGGAAAAACAGACATAGAAGTGTAGGAAAGTGAACGGGTAAAGCTCTTTTGGGAAACAAAAGGAAAAAAGAACAGATCCAGTGATTTTGAAGCCGCAAGCACCCCATCCGAGTGAAATGTGGCCTACGTGCACCGGAAAGTTGGTCTCAAAGCCCATTTAGTTCGCCAACAAGACCAGGTAGGCCGCATATGTGTCAATGATGACGTGACGAAGAATCTTGAAGGGTGCAAATCTGCAGACGGGTGGGATAGGGCGCCAGAATGTTGAGATGCATCTCACCACCAGGGTGAAAACCGGAAGCTGGATACACTGATTGTTTGGATAGAGTCAAGGAAAAGGCGACTAGAAGTGACCCTATGGAGTGGCGGCTGGAGCCCACACGTCATACTTTTTCATCACGTCCTCCTCCTCTGGCTCAACTGGTATAACGTCCGTAACGGCTTCTTGCTGCACGACGCTGAGGACTTTTTGCGTTGTTACCGTAAATTTGTCTACAAAAAAGAAGATAGAGGGGAAGCCATTATGATTCTGCAAAAACAATAACGGACCCATGATTGCTACACGACAGGGGACATTATCGAACTATGCGAAATTAAAGAGAAATCTACCAAGGAGTGAAGTATCACATACTAGAGAAATCAGGTGCACAAAGTGAGTAGGGGCAATGCTTACCAATGGTGCTTTTGAAAACCACCATCCGAACCATGATGGTTTGTGCTGTATGTCTTCAACGCCAGCTATACGTCAAAAGGCAGCCGTTTTGAATGGTTTTTTCCGATTTATGTGAGGCTACTTGTCCCACCTGTCCACTACTGTCATATACCCAGTTTTCCGCTTTCGTTCGACAACTCAGTAGATCCAGCTGGTGATAGGCGGAATTCCTGATGCCTTCCTCCTTTCTCTTTCACAAATTTTTTCGTCCCCCTCTCTCCACCCCATTAATTACTCTCTCCTTGTAGGCCCAGCACTTAGGACTGGTGACTCCGTCCGTCATGCATCGATTTTGCGTGCAGCATCTGCTCGTCACATGGCGCCGACATCCTGAGGTATCTCCAAATCACTTTTCAGGCCTCGACAGCCAGTCCATCTGACCACGTTCAATGTCTGCACTCTGAAGCAAGCAGAACAAGCTGCTCTAGCACTCACACCGGACTCGCTTGGCATTGATGTGTGCTGTGTCTCACAAACGAGAATTCAAGATGCAAGCAGAGTGATTGACTTGACCGCCCCGTCAGTATCCACTCGCTTCCGGCTGCGCATCACCGGTGATCTAGAGGCTGCTACGGCGGGATGTGCAGCGGTTGGTATCGTGCTGTCACCGGGCGGAAGTATCCTTACTTGACTGGATACCTGTTGATAGTCTCCTCTGTGCGGTTCGTCTGGCGACTTCTGTGAAGGAGTCTCACAAGCGGCAAATTGACAGATGCCTGTTTATCGTATCTGCCTACGTCCCAATTGACTGTAGTTCCGACGCCATCAAAGACAGGTTCTACGACGCCCTGAATGCCCTGCTGTGGCGAGTTAAAAGCTCAGACATTGTGGTGGTTGCCGGAGATATGAATGAGCAAGTGGGCAGACTTAGTGCATCTGAGACTCAATTAGGAGGTCGACATGGATTGGGCTCGGTATGTACGGACAATGTTGAATGATTGCTTCAGCTGTGTCCTGATCGCAGGCTGCTTTTATGCAGTACTAAATTCGTCTGATCACATGGTAACCTCCAACGACAGACCGGTCACAAACTCAAATCGACCACGTTGCCATCAACAACCGATGCAGCGGATCAATAACTGACTGCCGGTAGTTTTGGAATACATTTGTGGACTCTGACCACGTGCTCGTCCGGAGTCGCTTCTCCTTACATTTCCCTGGGCTGCATGAGGTGCGGACAAATCGCTTGGCAACTGAGAGACTGTTAGATACAGATGTTAGACGAAGATGTTGTATTGCCTTATCCGCATCAGACGACTCAAATGCTCTGTTCAGTTGGATCTGAAAGGCTCGGCCTGGCCTGAAAACTCAGAGGAGAGTATGGGAATCCGTCGCCTGATGCCGCTGCATGCAGCATACACGCTGGAGGCTATACTGAGCTCCTCAAAAGATTTAACGTTTTCACAATATCAGGTAATTTACTGGTGGTCAAAATCACATTCGGCTATCGGAATGTGTTGTTTTCAGTGCCCCCCTTATCCAATTCACCTAAATCGACGAAATGTAGGACCAGATTTTCCACAACTATGGTCATATAGCTCACTTGGGAGAAACCCATGTTGAAGAGGACAGGGCTCAACTTCCTTCGATCTTCCTAACAAACCAAACCTTCGGCAGCGAAGTCCCACGAGGCGTGGCCCATGGGATCAGAGCAGCACCCAAGTCCGACTTCCACTTCAATGAAGCAGATGTTGGTCGGAAATGAGGTGTATAAAGAACACCGAAAAAACCGTCATGGAAGCAGTTGCAGACCATTCGAAATTTTCAACGGGAGATATCCAAGATAGTACAGACGAGGTGAACTCGATTAGGTTAGTTGGGTTCCACGAATGCAGATTATTTCTGCAGAAAATTGTGAATACGAGCAAAGGGAGCTTCTTTAACTATTGACCTAAGGGTTGGAAAGTTTAAAGCCAGGAATAAAGTACAAAAAAAAGAGTCCAGATAGCGAACATACGGAGATGTGTCATTGCTGTAAAATCTATCTCCTTCGTGATGGACCTACAGCTCTGCTTTATGTCTCTGTCAGAAATCCCGGTGATGTCGCAGCGCCATAGCCAGGGCGAGTAATTTCGTTTGTGTGGTCCATGGTTGTACACAGACTAAGATGGTGAAACGGTACCCAAACCCAGAGAGAAGAACGAGAGTTCCCAGGTGAGGCGTTCGCCCCAAAAGCCTGAAAACAGAGCGACGGGGTTACTTAACACCCCCTCCTGACTATCAAGATGGAGAGCCAGAAGACGGTTTGGAAAACTTCTGCCACCGGAAATGATGAATGAGAATCTTGTAGTGGAGCCCAACAACGTTTTAGAGGTCCACAAACCGTGGCAGCATGACAGACCTTCACACCATCGACTGGACGGAAATTTATGTCCAAAACTCCCTGTCCAACTTACTCAATCCACCCGGCTAAACACGTACAAAGCACTGATTGATTATAGTCGCCTTCCTCAGTTTTGAATGGTGAAGCAAATTTAGTCTTGTCTTCAGTCAGTATTAACTTCTGCGCGAATGCGTTCCAGTACAGAAAATTAGTTATTAACATGTGTACTAATGCCAACCTCGGACATGGCTTGGCGCATGTGAAATGACACGTGAATAGAAGATCCAAAGACAAGAGCTACCGTATTATCAGTCACTGTATGTCCAGTATCTTAAAAAATTCCGAGAAAGTCTTTGGAGTGAGGTGCCTCTTCCGAGGTAGGAAGAGAAAAACTCAAGAACTAATATTAACCTTAGTCTTCCTCACATAATTGTCTACCAATGAAACTGATGGAAGACATGGAAGCAGTTGCAGACCATTCGAAATTTTCAACGGGAGATATCCAAGATAGTACAGACGAGGTGAACTCGATTAGGTTAGTTGGGTTCCACGAATGCAGATTATTTCTGCAGAAAATTGTGAATACGAGCAAAGGGAGCTTCTTTAACTATTGACCTAAGGGTTGGAAAGTTTAAAGCCAGGAATAAAGTACAAAAAAAAGAGTCCAGATAGCGAACATACGGAGATGTGTCATTGCTGTAAAATCTATCTCCTTCGTGATGGACCTACAGCTCTGCTTTATGTCTCTGTCAGAAATCCCGGTGATGTCGCAGCGCCATAGCCAGGGCGAGTAATTTCGTTTGTGTGGTCCATGGTTGTACACAGACTAAGATGGTGAAACGGTACCCAAACCCAGAGAGAAGAACGAGAGTTCCCAGGTGAGGCGTTCGCCCCAAAAGCCTGAAAACAGAGCGACGGGGTTACTTAACACCCCCTCCTGACTATCAAGATGGAGAGCCAGAAGACGGTTTGGAAAACTTCTGCCACCGGAAATGATGAATGAGAATCTTGTAGTGGAGCCCAACAACGTTTTAGAGGTCCACAAACCGTGGCAGCATGACAGACCTTCACACCATCGACTGGACGGAAATTTATGTCCAAAACTCCCTGTCCAACTTACTCAATCCACCCGGCTAAACACGTACAAAGCACTGATTGATTATAGTCGCCTTCCTCAGTTTTGAATGGTGAAGCAAATTTAGTCTTGTCTTCAGTCAGTATTAACTTCTGCGCGAATGCGTTCCAGTACAGAAAATTAGTTATTAACATGTGTACTAATGCCAACCTCGGACATGGCTTGGCGCATGTGAAATGACACGTGAATAGAAGATCCAAAGACAAGAGCTACCGTATTATCAGTCACTGTATGTCCAGTATCTTAAAAAATTCCGAGAAAGTCTTTGGAGTGAGGTGCCTCTTCCGAGGTAGGAAGAGAAAAACTCAAGAACTAATATTAACCTTAGTCTTCCTCACATAATTGTCTACCAATGAAACTGATGGAAGAACCCTTCCCGTGCCTAACTGCCATGCCACCCGAAGGTTGCACGTGGGCTGGAATACTGCTAGGTTGCCTAAGCCTAGACAGGGGAAGTCGAGGCAGCGGTCAGGTCCGGTCAGTAAATTCGCACTCTAACCACTTGGACCATCTGGCCCCCGGGAAGAACCAACCACTTTATATTAATTTGTGGTGAAAAAAAACTAAGGAGCCGCGGAGGAGGGGCAGGATAACAAAATCGTAACATCAATTCAATTAGTAATTTTTTGCACGCCGTTGAAAATGCTTGCTCTGGATTCTTGCTCAGCAAAACGGGGACAGAAGAGAGTAATCCAGAGCGCATAAAATTCAGATCCATTTATCGTTAGTACTACGAGGAACCGCTCATCATTTCCGTCTCAATGGATTGGACCATTTTCTCCGGGCACCCCACTTCATACTTGGAAAGCAATTTGACTGAGAAATCCGCCAGAACGTATCTACACTCCAAAGCTCCTGTTCTATGAGACTATCAATAAACTTATCAGGAAAGCCTTCTTCCGATAGCGCTCCACCTGTCTGAGCTCCATCATCACAGAAGTAGAACGTCGTGGTAGTCTCATACAGTGTTGATTGGTTGGACATACCATGAATCCGTCCAAATATATTTTGGTCCAGCTCAAACGTTTCTAGCATATTTTCTATAGAGGAAAATGTTGGTAGCTCAGGTATCGTAGATGGTGGTCGTTGGCTTGTTCGCTGAGCTGGGGAATTTGATTGCAAACGTTTCATCACCAATCGAGGTGACATCATCAGTGCGTTATCGTGGAGCGTAGTAGTGCGTAGCGGTGGGTTGGTGGTTTCTAGCATATATTTGCCAGCAGCAGCTTACTGAACACTGTTGGTTGAATGGTCAAAACATATTCATACCGTGTAGTGTATTCGCATATAATAGTTCCCAACCTGATCGCTCTATTTTCAGAGCTGCCTCTTTGGAGCCAGCCTATACTGGTCCATTTTTTAAAACATTCTTGAAACTTCTCTTTGGAGGAACTCTCTTTTCACGAGGTCAGCCACAGCTGCACACTAAGACCACCTAGTTTTTGTTATCACCAGTTCATCTGAGTGAGATACATAAACAGCTGGTTTGTCGTATGGCGTCCAAAACTATGTCTGAAAAATCAGAGTGGTAGTAGCAAGGCCATATAATCTTCACTATTGTCTTTCGGCTGATGTGGGCATGGAAGCTCCACATTCCGATGAATAACTGCATCTTGCGAGTTCATAACTGTAGCACACAAAACAGGTAACTAGCTCTACCTTATTAGATAGTCTCAAAAACGCTCATTCAGAATGCTGCACAAAAAGAATTGCAAAGACTAGGCGAAGTGCTAAAAGAAACACTGAACGAGAAAGGTTTTGGAAAAAAGGACAAAAATTGTATAGTTCCAGCCGACCCGGCGGTCTGTATTTGCAAATGACAGCGAGCAGTTGACAAGCCGCAGAGTACGGATTCAAGAAGACTAGAACTTGACTGAGCTACTGAAATTCAGGTAGTAGTTCAGCGAACTACTAGGTGGCATGTAAGCAGGTGCACATATACATGAAACTGGATCGCGCAAAAGTACTGAAAGGTAACACATGCACCCACATTTCCACCCAATTGATTTCAAACTCGAATAGACGGCAGCATGTATTGTTGCTTAACACTGAGGGTGGATGAAGTATCCAACACGGTATGTCCCTGGCTTCAACTGAACCACAGCCAGCACAGAGTCACGCCTTCGTCATATCCACCAACCGCCACAGTTTTCCCATAATCTCTTTCGTAAATCTCAACAAACTGACGATAACCTCAACAAACACACCGACCGCAATCAACAATGACTGAGCAAAACGGATGTCGCTTGGCCTGATTTCCCCGCGCTTGCTAAATTTTTCGGAGTAAACGAAACGAGGCTAGTGTTTATTATTATAACTCATATCTTCATGCTTTGATCTCAGCCAATTACTCAAGACAAAAAAGTGTGCCGCTGGTGTTTCAGTCATTTAAATAGATGACGATACACCACCAGACCATACGGAGAAGTACTCAGAGTTTGCCTAAAGATTGTGTCTAGAGAAGTGAATGCTGGCTGAATAGTCAAAAAGTCACCAAACGCAGCCTGACATAATTGAGCGGGATTGCGAGCAAGCGAAAATTAGGAATCACTGTCGTGTTATTCTTACTCTCAACAGAAAAGGCAGCATCGTACTATGCTACCATATTGGAGAAAGACTAGTTGATCCGAAAGAAAACTTGTCCAGTGGCATTCCTTGCGGTTTCAGAGATTGTGGTGTTTAGTGAAGCGCGTGACCAATTTCTCTGGATCCGCTGCACCGAATATGCATTGCATAACGAATCAGTTCAAATGTAGAACAAGAATATCAAATAAGAATTCCATTCTCCCCTCTAAGCAAGGATAAGTGAGTCGGTGGCTTCACACCCCAAGCGGTTTCACTGTAGGATTTTTCGGCAGGCAGGAGAGAAACAAAATACAGCCAAAGCAACGTTGTTCTGTCTGTCTGATTTCTTCTCATTACTCTGTTTATTTCGCGCAACCAATATCGTTTTAT